CTAAAATTAAAGACCCCAAAATCAGAAAAAAATATAAGAACCCCAAAACCTAGAAATGCAAAATTAAGGATCCAAAATCTTTTAAAAAATCCCCAAAAATCCGAGACCCCAAAATTTAAAAAATCACAAAAAATAAAAAAATCCCAAAATTAAAGACCCAAAAATCTGAGAACCCCAAAAAATTGAAAAATCCCCAAAACAAAGACTCCAAAATAAAAAAAAATCCAAAAATCTGAGAACCCCAAATTTAAAGACCCCAAAAACCCAAAATTAAAGACCCCAAAATCTGAAAAAAACCCAAAAATCAAAACCCCCAAAATTAAAGACCCAAAATTCAAAAAAATCCCAAAATTCTAAAATTAAAGACCCCAAAATCAGAAAAAAATATAAGAACCCCAAAACCTAGAAATGCAAAATTAAGGATCCAAAATTTTTAAAAATCCCCAAAAATCCGAGACCCCAAAATTTAAAAAATTACAAAAATCTGAGAACTCAAAAAAATCCCAAAATTAAAGACCCAAAAATCTGAGAACCCCAAAAAATTGAAAAATCCCCAAAACAAAGATTCCAAAATAAAAAAAAATCCAAAAATCTGAGAACCCCAAATTTAAAGACCCCAAAAACCTGCAAACCCCAAAACCCCAAAATTAAAGACCCCAAAATCTGAAAAAAAACCCAAAATCTGAGAACCCCAAAAATGAGAAACCCAAAATCAATATCCCAAAAATTCAATAAATTTAAAAAATCCAAGAACCCCAAAAACTTGGAGACCCCAAAAATCAAAGACCCTCAAAAGGTGGAGAATCCCAAAATTTGACACACCTAAAAATTAAAAAAAAAAATCCCAAAAATGTGTGAACCCCAAAACCCAGAAATCCAAAATCAAAATCCCAAAAATCCAAGAACCCCAAAAACTTGGAGACCCCAAAAATCAAAGACCCTCAAAAGGTGGAGAATCCCAAAATTTGACACACCTAAAAATTAAAAAAAAAAATCCCAAAAATGTGTGAACCCCAAAACCCAGAAATCCAAAATCAAAATCCCAAAAATCCAAGAACCCCAAAATCAAAAAAATTCAATAAATCCAGGAACCCCAAAAGTTGGAGACCCCAAAAATCAGAGACCCTCAAAAGTTGGAGAAACCCAAAATTTGACACCCCTCAAAATTAAAAAAAAAAAAAATCCCAAAAAACCCTCAAAAGTTGGAGAAACCCAAAATTTGACACCCCTCAAAATTAAAAAAAAAAAAAAATCCCAAAAATCTGAAAACCCCAAAACCCAGAAATCCAAAATCAAAATCCCCAAAATCCAAGAACCTCAAAATAAAAAAAAATTTAAAAATCCAAGAACCCAAAAGTTGGAGACCCCAAAAATCAGAGACCCTCAAAAGTTGCCGAATCCCAACATTCGACACCCCTCAAAATGAATTTTAAAAAATCCCAAGAATCTGTGAACCCCAAAACCCAGAAATCCAAAATTAAAGATCCCAAAATTTCCAAAAATCCCAAAAATCCGCATCCCAAAAATCCTTTTTTCCAGTTTTTCCGGGTTTCCCGCCGTTTTTAATCCCTCCTTCCCCTCAGAGCCCCGCGCGGCAATTTCGTCCGCCTCAACCTGAAGAGGAAAACTTACACCCGCGCATCCCAGAGGGGGAAATTCCTCCGGAGACAGGTGAAAATTCCCAAATTTTTTGGGGGAGGGATTCCCGACTTCTCCCCTGCTGGAATTTTGGGATTTGAGAATTTTTTTTCCCCAGGTTTGGAAGCAGAAATGGAGAAAAAAGTTCGGGGGCGGATCCGATCTTTGCTTCCGGTGCGGCGGGAAAGGGCACTGGGCCGCGGAGTGCCCCGGTGAGGACGGGGTTTGTTTGGGATTTCTGAGGGGATTTTGCGGGTTTTGAGGGAATTTTGGGGTTTCTGAGGGGATTTTTGGGGTAAAAGATAGGGAAAAGTGTGAGGGAGGTTCTTTTCCATTGATTTTTGAGGGAATTGCCCGTGCAGGGCAGGATTTGGGACCATTCCCGGAGAAATTCCTGAGGAAACTGCGAGGTCAGGCTGGGAATTTTTTGGGATTTCTGAGGGAATGTTGAGATTTCTGAGGGGATTTTTGGGATAAAACAGCGGGAAAAGTGTGAGGGGGGTTCTTTTCCATGGATTTTGAGGGAGTTGCCTGAGCAGGGAAGGATTTGGGATCAATCCCAGAGGTATTCCTGAGGAAATTGCGAGGTCAGGCCGGGAATTTTTGGGATTTCTGAGGGGATTTTTGGGATAAAAGAGCGGGAAAAGTGTGAGGACGGGGTTCTTTTCCATTGATTTTTGAGGGCAGGGCAGGATTTAGGATCATTCCCAGAGGAATTCCTGAGGAAATTGCGAGGTCAGGCCAGGAATTTTGTGGGATTTCTGAGGGGATTTTTACATTTTTGAGGGAATTTTGGGATTTCTGAGGGGATCTTTGGGATAAAACAGCGGGAAGAGTGTGAGGACGGGGTTCAACGGAGATTTTATCCCAGAAATTCCCGGTGAGAAACCGAATTATGGAATTCCTGCCTTTTCCCAGGGAAAGGGTGGGGAATGAATGGGGTTTGGCCTCAAAAATTTGGATTTGGAGCTTAAAATTGGCATTTTAGCCTCAAAAGTTTGGGATTTGGGTCTTAAAATTGGCATTTCAGCCTCAAAAAATGGGATTTTACACTCAAAAATGTGGGATTTGGGCCTGAAAATTGGGATTTTGTAGCCAATAGTGGGGATTGGGCCCCAAAAATTGGAGTTGTCCTCAACAATTTGGATTTGGATCTTAAAATCGGAATTTTGGCCGCAGAAATCTGGATTTGGATGTAAAATTGGGATTTTGGCCTCTAAGAGTGTGGGATTTGGACCTTAAAATTGGAGTTTGGGGCTCAGAAATTGAGATTTGGACCTTAAAATTGGTATTTTGGCCTCAGAAATTGGAATTTTCACCTTAAAAATTGGAGTTTGTGCCTCAAAAGTAATAATTTGGAGATTCAAATTGGGATTTGGGTCTCAAAAATGAGGGATTTGGTCTTTAAAATTGGAATTTTGCCCTCAAAAATGTTGGTTTTGGACATTAAAATGGGATTTTTACCTTAAAAATGGGATTTTGCCCTCAAAAATTTGGGATTTGGGCCTTGAAATTGGGATTTTGGCCTCAGAAATGTGGGGGTTTTTTTCCCCAAAAAATGTGAGGGTTTATCTTAAAAAGGAAGTGGGTACTAAAAAAAACAGGATTTGGGATGTAAAAATGGGATTTTGGTCTAAAAATGAAGAATTTGAGCTCTAAAAGTCTGGAATTTTGCCCTAAATATAACAGAATTTCATCTTAAAAATGTGATTCCTTCCCTTAAAAATGTGAGAATTTATCCTTAAAAGAAAATGGATTCTAAAACTTAGGATTTGGGATCCAGAAATGTGGAATTTGGCCCCAAAAAAGAAATTGTAGAGCCTAAAATGAAATTTTGAAATTTCAGACCCTAAAAACGGGGGGTTTTCCCCTAAAAATTTGTGTTGGATCCTAAAACATGAGGAATTTTCCCCCAGGAAATCCAAGTTTAGATGCTAAAAATGGGATTTTCCTCCCTGAAATCTGAGGTTTGGTGCAACAAATATGGATTTCCCCTCAAAAAATGCGGGAGCTGTCCAGAAAAATGACATTTTAGCCTTTAAAAATTGGATTTTTCCCCCTAAAAACCTGGGATTTTCGTCCTAAAATCCCCATTTTTTTCCCTCCAGATGGATCCAGCACGGAGAATTCCCAGCTCCCCCCCGATTCCCTGGATTTCCCTCAGCCGGAATTCTCCCCGCCATCCCCTCCCCCACCTCCCATGGATCCCCTTTACCCCCCAAACCCCGACGGGACCGTCCCAGGTAAATCCCGGAGCAAACCCACGGAAAAACCTGGCAACTCCGCGGGGAAAATTCCACCTTTTCTCCTCCTGAATCCCACAGATCCTCCGGAGGAAGTGCTGGAAGCTCTGAGGACTTTGGGATACGATTCCTTCCGTCCTCACCAGGCTGAGGCCGTCATGAGGGTCCTCTCCGGTTCGATTTTCCCGCCTTTTTTTTCCCGCCTTTTTTCCTGCCTTTTTTTTTCCATTTCCCCGCTCTTTCTCCTGCCCTTTTTCCCTCCATTTTCCCCATCTTTTTTTTTCCCCACCCTTTTTTCCTGCTCTTTCTTCCCACTCTTTTTTCCCCATCCTTTTTTCCCCTCTTTTGTCCCCACCCTTTTCCCCTCTGTTTTCCCCACCCTTTTTTCCCTTCACTTTTTTCCTTTCCACTCTATTTTCCCTCCAGTTTTCTCACCTTTTCCCCCACTCCTTTTTTCCTACCTTTTTTTCCCTGCTTTTTTTTTCCTGCCCCTTTTCCCCTTCTTTTTTCCTCCTGCTTTTTTCCTGCCCTTTTTTCCTACCCTTGTTCCCCTCTCTTTTTTTCTCCTGCTTTTTTCCTGCCTTTTTTTCCCTCACACTTTTCCCCTGTCCTTTTGCCTTCTCCTTTTTTCCTGCCCTTTTTTCCTACCCTTGTTCCCCTCTCTTTTTTTCTCCTGCTTTTTTCCTGCCTTTTTTTCCCTCACACTTTTCCCCTGTCCTTTTGCCTTCTCCTTTTTTCCTGCCCTTTTTTCTTTCCATTTTCCCCCTCTTTTTTCTTGCCCGTTTTTCCCTGCCCTTTTCCCCTCAGTTTTTTTCTGCCATTTTTCCTGCCCTTTTTCCCCATCCTTTTTTCCCACCCTTTTTTTATTCCCCACCCTCCCCCCCTTTTTCCTGCTCTTTTTTCCATCCTTTTCCTCCTCTTTTTTCCCCACCTTTTTCCTCTATTTTCCCCACTTTTTGCCCTACTTTTTTCCCTTTTTCTCTCTGTTTTTCCTGCCCTTTTTTCTTTCCATTTTCCCACTCTTTTTTCTTGCCATTTTTTCCCCCGCCCTTTTTTCCCCTTCCCTTTTTCCCTCTTTTTTTTTCTGCCTTTTTCCCCCCATCCTTTTTCCCCACTTTTTTTACTGCCCTTTTCTCCTGCTCTTTTCCCTGCCCTTTTTTCCCACACTTTTTCCCTCAGATTTTCCTGTCCTTTTCCCTGCCCTTTTCCCCTCAGTTTTTCCTGCCTTTTCCCCCAAATTTCCCCTCAGTTTTCCCCCCATTTTCCCCTCTCTCATCATCCCAAAATTCCCATTTTTCTCTAGGAATCTCCATTCTGCTGCCCATGGGCTAAGGCAAATCCCTCTGCTGCCAACTTCCCACCATTTTTCCCGCTCCTTCTTTCCCCTCTCTTTTTTCCCTGGTCTTTTCCCCTCAGTTTTTCCTACCCTTTTTCCCTCCCTTTTCCCCTCAGTTTTTCCCCGTTTTTCCCACCCTTTTCCCTTCAGTTTTTCCCCATTTTTCCCACTCTTTTCCCCCTCAGATTTTCCTGCCCTTTTTCCCATTTTCCCCCTCAGTTTTTCCCCTCCCTTTTCACCACATTTCCCCTCAGTTTTTCCTGCCCTTTTCCCCTCAGTTTTCCCCACCATTTCCCACTCTTTTCCCCTCAGTTTTTCCCGCACTTTTCCCCTCAGTTTTTCCTGCCCTTTTCCCCTCAGTTTTTCCTGCCCTTTTCCCCTCAGTTTTTCCCGCCCTTTTCCCCTCAGTTTTTCCTGCCCTTTTCCCCTCAGTTTTTAATGCCCTTTTTCTCCTGTTTTTTCCACCCTTTTCACTACATTTTCCCTCATTTTTTCCCACCCTTTCCCCCTCAGTTTTTCCCGCCCTTTTCCCCACTTTTCCCCTCTCCCAACATCCCAAAATTCCCATTTTCCCCAGGAATCTCCACGCTGCTGCTGCTGCCCACGGGCTCGGGCAAATCCCTCTGTTACCAACTCCCTGCCTTCCTCTACCACCGCCGTTCCCGCTGCATCTCCCTCATCATCTCCCCCCTCGTCTCCCTCATGGACGACCAGGTATTCCCGCCATTCCCGCTTTTTTTTTTGGGATATTTCCCTCACAAAATCCCAGAAAAAACCCCACAATATTCCCACTCCCAGGTTTCCGGCCTCCCCTCAGCCCTCAAAGCCGTCTGCATCCACTCCAACCTCACCCAATCCCAGCGCGAAGCAGCCATACAAAAAGTGAGTAAAATTCCCGAAATTCCCACCTTTCCCTTATAAAAAACCCGGGATAATCCCGATTTCCCTCCAGGTCACGAGCGGCCAAGCCCAAATCCTGCTGCTTTCCCCGGAATCTGTGACGGGATCGGGGTTTTTTTCCCGCTTTTTCCGCCATTTCCCTCCCGTGGCCTTCGCCTGCCTGGATGAAGCTCACTGCATCTCCCAATGGTCCCACAACTTCCGGCCCGCTTACCTCAGGGTCTGCAAGGTGGGATAAAACCCCAAAAACCTCGGAAAATCCCAAAAAATCCCCCCAAATCCCCTCAAATCCGGGTTGTATTCCCAAAATTCCAGGTTCTGCGGGAGCGTTTGGGCGTTCGGTGCTTCCTGGGCCTCACGGCCACGGCCACGGTGGCCACGGCTCGGGACGTGGCCAAACATTTGGGAATTCCTGAGGGAAATCCCCCCATTGGCGGCTTCGGAATTCCCGAAAATCTGCGGCTCTCGGTGTCCGTGGAGGCCGACCTGGATCAGGTGAGTGCGGATTTTGGGTTGGGTTTGGGGGTTTTAGGGAAAAATCCCCATTTTTAGGGACTAAAATTGCAGTTCTTGGGATTAAGTCCACATTTTCTGAGGGAAAATCCTGATTTTTAGGGCCTAAAATTCTATGTTTTGGGATTGAGCCCACATTTTCTGAGGTAAAAAATCCCATTTTTAGGGAAAAAATTTGTTATTTTTAGGATCAACCCCACATTTTCTGAGGGAAAATCCCCAGTTTTAGGGCCTAAAATGGCATTTTTTTGGGATCAACCCGACATTTTGTGAGGGAGTTCACATTTTTTAGGAAACTTGGAACAAATTCCACATTTTCTGAGGGAAAATCCCCAGTTTTAGGGCCTAAAATGGCATTTTTTTGGGATCAACCCGACATTTTGTGAGGGAGTTCACATTTTTTAGGAAACTTGGAACAAATTCCACATTTTCTGAGGGAAAATCCCCAGTTTTAGGGCCTAAAATGGCATTTTTTTGGGATCAACCCGACATTTTGTGAGGGAGTTCACATTTTTTAGGAAACTTGGAACAAATTCCACATTTTCTGAGGGAAAATCCCCAGTTTTAGGGCCTAAAATGGCATTTTTTTGGGATCAACCCGACATTTTGTGAGGGAGTTCACATTTTTTAGGAAACTTGGAACAAATTCCACATTTTCTGAGGGAAAATCCCTGGTTTTAAGACCTAAAATTCCATTTTTTGGGATTAAGCTCACATTTTCTGAGGTAAAAATATCCATTTTTAGGGGAAAAAAAATCTTATTTTTAGGCTCAACCCCACATTTTCTGAGGTAGAAGTTCACATTTTTTAGGGAATTTGGGACAAATCCCACATTTTCTG